TCTCTCTCTCTCTCTTTCTCGTTCCCGTTCTCTTTCTCTTTCTCTCTCTCTTTTTCGTTCCCGTTCTCTTTCTCTTTCTCTCTCTCTCTTCCAGTTTATCCTATTCCTTGTTACTTTCCAAGCTGAGTTTCATCTTGCATTAGTCACCATATGATCTCTTGTGCGTGTCTCTGAATTTGCTGATCTCTCGCGATATCAAGTCTCTTTTGTCTTCTTCCATTTTTATAGCATTTATATCCTCCTTGGTGATGAGTGGGTAAGGGATCAATGGGGCCACTGGAAATCTACGAAAAATGTCCTCCTTCTTTTCCTTCTTTTTCTTCCTGGGGTGAGAGTCAGACTCCTGTGAGGGGGCATTTAGCTCATTGGAGTATTCACGTATTAAAACTTCAATAGCCCCTTGCACTTGCCGAAGCACTCGTGGTACATGCGGACGCTGCGCTCGCTGAGCTCCAGGCCCAGCGCCAGGCTGGCCGTCAGCTCCTTCTTGCAAGGCGGCAGATAGGCGCCGCCGCAGAGCAGCGCGTTGCACAGGCGCTCGGCGTCCGTCTTGGTGATGAGCCCGCACGAGGGCGCGGAGAAGGGCAGGATGCCCATGACTTTGAGGATCTCCAGCTGGTCGGTGGTGCAGCGTGAGCAATAGATGTGCAGCTCATCGCAGACTGAGTTGATCTGCTGCAGTGAGAAGTCGCGCAACACTGAGTTAAGGACCTGTGGCAGGCACAGACGCTTCTCACCTCCCACTATGAAACAAGAGATGGTCTCCCCTTCCAGCACGGTCTCACAGCGCTCGTGGAGCGATCCGACGGCATGAAGAAGGGCCCGGGTAGTACAAGCGGCGGCTCCTTTATCACAGCTTGGCACCCTTGGAAGGTTCTGAGGACTGCCGCATATCTGTCCACTCCTGCATGGTGTTCTGCAGGGCCTGGGTCTTTTCCTTATCCACTTGGATATAGTCTACCTTCTCATCCGATGTGACAGATGATGTGGATGGCTTGCGGTGAGGGCTCGGGGAGCCTGGCTGGAAGTCCAGGGCTAGGTAATCCACACTGCCAGTACTCTTCTTTGGAGCTGGGCTGTTGGTGCCACTGGGAACAGGGGATGAGGGACGTAGTTCTCCTCGCTGTCTCCCGAGTCTGTGCTGGTGGCGGCAGTACTGGGAGGAGCTGGAGTTAGCGGTGTGGTTAAGCCTGGACCAAGACTTGGTGAAGGGGAGCTCATCGATGACAGTGTTGTTTCTCAGGTCCAGGGGTGTTGGCTTTGCTTTCCGGTCAGGCTTGAGGTTGCGATTGACCGGGGGTGGCTGGTTCTCACTTCCTCGGCTGGGACCTCTATGGATAGGAAGGGCTGTGGATGGGTAGCCAAGCGGGTCAAAGTGATGGGGCCCTGGGCTCATGGGGATGTAGACACTTTGGGAATTGTCCCCTGCTCGTTCCATAGCCAGCAGGGTAGAAGAACCTGGGTTCATGGGCACATAGTTGTCATCAGAGCTGGCACTGTCTGATCGACCCACGATAGTCTTCCCTGGAGATTCAGCAGACCAACTGGCACTCTCTCCGCCTCGAGTTGGGTACTCATAGGTCTCACAGGAAGAAGCTCGGTGGAGTCGGCTGTTGTCCATTGCGGGGAGGGTATTGCGTCTGGGGATAGTAGCAGCTACAGATCTACTATGTTCGCTGATTGGAGGTCTTTGCTGAGGGCTGCCCCACCGAGGTGTTTCTGCCTGACTTGGCTTGGGGGGGCGTGGTGGGGGAGCTATGGCTGAGTCTCCAGGAGTGGCCATTGTCATGGCATTGTGGTTTTTGTCCAGTGTGAATGTTCTAGGGATCTGGTAGGCTGAGAGAGGGGTGGTTGGAACATCCATATTGTCCACTAGGAGGTCTCCAAACTCCCGGCACAGGGTGTTGCTGGGTGTCTTGAAGGTGTACGCATCCTCAGTGTCTGTCTCGGACCCTGTGAGGCTGCCCTTGGTGTGGCCTTGTGAAGCCAGGCTACGGGGGAGGTCGTAAGTACTGTCTTTGAATTCTGTATTGTGTCGGCTTGGCTTGGGAAGGCTATAGAAGCCATGGACTTGACCGCTGACTCCATTGACCCAGTGTCCATTGCCCTGGGCAAGTTTTTGCATGGCTGTATCACTCTTCTGCCGGGTGCCCTGAGAGAAGCTGGCACTCCTCGCATTTTCTGTCCTTCGGCTTATGCACTGGTGCAAGTAGAGATACTCCTGAGGTGCACTGGTGGACAAGGCAGGCTGGATGTGGCCTGACACGGGGGCTCAAACATGAACAGAGTGGGCTGGCCAGAGTGTGAAGGGGCGGAGGACTTCCTTTCTCGGAGCAGGTGCTGAGTGGAGCCGCTGACCTCAGCTGGAGAAGAGTGGGAACCGTGACTGGCTGAAGAAAGGTTTCTCAGGGAGTCTGTGCTCTCCCCAGCCTGAGTGAAGCCGCAGATCTGGCAGATGCTCTGGACCCACTTATTCATGTCGGCCTCTGTCTCAGCCACCAGGTAAAAAGTACACTCACTGGTCTTGATATCGAACACAAAACTGTCCTGCAGCTTTTTCTTGTTAAAGGTCAGGCCTGTATCCACCTGCTCACACAAGTTCAGGTTGATGATCCGCAGGGGTTTCTTGGAGTGCTCGTTCTTGTAGTATTCCAGAACACCTGGGTCGCCACTCATCCGGCCGCTCCGCAGTATAAACCAGCGTTTCTTCCAGGCATAGCGCCTCAACTTCTTCTCGGGAGGCGATTTCCTCAGCCAGCCGGTGCACACCACGTCGTCGCCGCCGCCGCCGCCGCTCATGGTGCATGCCGTGAGGGCTCGAGGGCCGGGCACCAGAGGGGTCGGTGGAGGCAGTGGACGCGCTCCGAGCACAACCGCCACACACAGCCCACGGGAACTCGCAGATTCCCTGGTCGGGGCGGGCGGGCTCCAAGCGCCCTGGGTCGGCAGTCGAGCCTCTCTTCGGCAGATCCGCGGACCGAAGCGGAACCCGAGCGGGAGCCTCGGGGACCAGAGCTGGCCGGCCTTCTTTCAGTGCACCCTCCCGGCCGCCAGGCGCGCCGTCCCGCCGCCTCGGCAGCAGTCGGGCTCGGCTGGGACTCTGCCAGGACCCGGAGCCGGGAGCTCGATGCCCCGCGCTCCGCCCCTTGGGGATGGGACCTCCCACGAGCGCTCCCTGCGGACCCCACGCTGCACGCGCACACACAATGCCCGCGCGCGGTGTCCGCTCCGCTCTGCCCGCTGGCGCTTTCAGTGAGCGGGGCGCGATCTTTTCCTTCTCCCTGCTCCGAGGAGGGAGCCCGGGAAGGCGTACGGCGTCCCGATGGCAGCGGGCGCAGGGACAGCGCAAGGACTGGCGGCGAGGCGTGGAGCGACGCCGGGCGTCGGGGAGGTCGTGGTTCCGCGGCGGGAGAGTGGGTCTGC